TGATTACCTGCCACCCACACCTGCTGGCTCTGAGCACTGACAGCTGGGGCTCTCCCACTTTCTGCGTGGTCACGGGCAAGTGAATCTTGGCTTCCACGGGCCTCAGTTTTCCCTTTGTAAAATTAAGGGGCTGTGGGATTGGACAAGAGAGCCATTCTTGTAGCCTGTGATCAACACACAGGAAAACGCCAGGTAACAGCCTCTAGGACCTGTGGCCCGAAGGACTGAGAACTCACTAAGTGTGAGCTGCCACCCCCCCACCGGCCCCTGTCCCCTCACATCAGAACACAAAGGTGAATACAGTCAGGAAGCTTTGCTAAGGCCCATCGGTGGTTTCACTTCCTCCCTCCCCGTGAAGAGGCCTGAGTGCTTGTCTCTGGAGGCAGAAGGAAGAGCGAAGGTGGTGGGGAAGGTTTTGCTCAGTCTGTGGAGGGCTTGGGAATGGGCAGCTCTGGAGAAGGAAGAGGGTGGGCCCTGGAGCAAGCTGCCTTTTGGCCTTGCAGAGGGGGCGCTTGGAATCACTTACTGCTCTTTGAGGGAGGGCGGTCAGGGCAGAGGGCACCCGACCCACTGCATCTGAGTTTACCGAGGGCAGCCTGTCTGTGAATTCAAAATGGGGTCTAAACTGAGGCTGGTAGGTGTATCAACAGAGGAGAAACTGTATCTGAGCCCCGGCTGGTGTAGCTCAGTGGATTGAGCATGGGCCTGTTGAAGCAAAGGGTCGTAGGTTCAATTCCCAGTCAGGGCACATGCCTGCGTTGCAGGCCAGGTCCCCTGTGGGGGACACATGAGAGGCAAACACACATTGATGTTTCTCTCCCACTCTTTCTCCTTCCCTTCCCCTCTCTCTAAAAATAAATAAAATATTTTAAAAATAAAAATAAATAAATAAAAGCCACCTCTTTGACATAGATTAAAGAAAAAAAAAGAAACTGTATCTGTTCTTGTTTGAGCATTTCCAGATTTTTCTCAGCTGGACATGGTGAGTCTCACATTACACATATTAGACATTCCATCTGATCTCATAGTGGTGACAGTCCATTTCTGGGAAAAACAAACAAACAAACAAACAAACAAACCAAACAAAGTTTGAAGAGGGAAGACTGCAGCTGGGAGGGAAAGTCCTAGCCCAAGCAAGACCGGTACTGTACAGTGAAATGTCACTTGCTACATTGTCCCCTTAACAGTCAGTGCCTTTAGCTTTGTGGGGTGCTGGAGGCATGAGTTCGCTATCTCCAGAGACCAAATGTAAAAATGTTCTGTGAACATCAGGAAAATTGTCCCCCCCCACAGGGGGACTTCTCTTTGGTTTCAAAGAGAAACCAAATTTCTCTTTGGTTTTTGTAATTCACGTAAGAATTCTCTCTTTCCTTCCCACCTCCCCTCTCTCTGGCCTCCTCGTGGCCAGTGAAGTAATCGATTGTCCCCCATTCAAGAAGACAGACAGGGCAGCGGCCCGGCCTCTGTGTTCTGTGGAGCGGGATGGAGAGGGCTCCCCGGTCGTCACTGGGGCAGGGAGCGGGGATGTGAAGGAGACGGCAACAACGAGGACTATGTCAAGTGCCTGGAGTGTGTAAATAAATAGAAGATAAGCTCCCAGTTTCAGGAGCCGAGAGTGTGTATGTGAAATCATCGCTGTGAATATTATTGAGGCTCTCAGGCCTGAGATGCCTCTGTTTCATCTACAGTCTGTTCAGAGACCTGGGTTTGGGGGTTGTCTGCACTACTGTACTTCCTACTGTGTGAAATGGGTTAATTTACTTGATGCTGCCTGGCACACCATAGGTGCTTAATGAGTATGGACCAAATGAATAAACGATCAGGATTCCGCCTGTCTGAGCCTCGGTTTCCTCGTCTGGGGAAAAGGGGGCATAATACTTCCCCAACAGGTTGTGATCATGCAGATAAAATTGTTTCCCAGAGAGCTTCTCAAACTTGCTTTTACTTCCCAGGAGTCACCCAGGGGGCTTCTCAAATGGACATTCTAACTCCAGAGGCCTGGAGTGGGTGGGCCTGAGTTTTACATTTCCAGCTAACCCACGGGGATGGCTATATGGACCACACCTTGAATAGCTAGGTCCAAGACTCCACGTGCTGGGAATTATTAACATTATCTCTTCAGCCAATAGGGTCATGGTAAGCTGCAAGGACTAACTGTCCCAGTGTCCCCCAACCGAGGGCTTCAGTGTGAGAACTAGGGAAGTCCTGGGCAAACTCAAACAAGTTGGCCACCCTGTGAGAACAGTGCAGAGAAAGGGAGGTTTAGCTTTGGTCTGAGCTGCTGTGTGAACCCAAAACAAAACAAAACAAAAACAAATGGGCGATGCTATTTGCTAAGGAGAGGAATATATTCCCACCTTAGATCAATGTGTTCTCTCTCCCCCTTTTTTCACAGAGGACCAGAGATGTTGGGCGACTTGGCTGACATCACACAGCACCTCAGGCACAGGGCTGGGGCTAGGGATCCTGCCTCCGACTCCCTGCATAACTGGGCGCCTCCTCTGACACTTTCCTATCTATCCGGCAAACATTGTATGTTTATTTAGAAATTGGCTTGTTTGGAGACTGAAATTTGACATAGCTGATTTTGGTTGTAAGAGTTCACATTTTCCCTCTGTTTTGGTTTGCTTAACCGTGTTGGAGAGAAAAAAAAAAAACAACACTGCAAAGTAATAAAAACACAATGAGGCTGTTAAAGTGGTTCAGATGCAAAGCTTCCAGAAAGGAGGCAACATCAACTTACATAGATTTATTTTGTAACTCAAGATAGTAGATTAGAAACCCATGAGGTTTACTTCCAGGGATTTACAAACCCCAAATAAATAAACAGCTGGGTTCTGTCTCTTTCCAGGCTGCGTCTCCCGGAGGTGGGGCTGAGAGGCTGGGAGAAGCACCCTGTTGGGCAGATTGCTGCAGGCTGTTCCCGTGCTCCTTCGTGAAGGTGAAGGTCATTAGAGAAGATGTCTATTGTCAGGACTACCGTGTGTGTGGCAACTGCAGAACGCCACTCGAAAACCTTCGTAGTTTATCTTGCACAAATCAGGTCTTAAAAGAATGTTGCCTTTTATTATTAACACTTGAGAATCCATGCAGAGAGTTGCCACTAAACACGTGAGCACGTGGCATTTAGGAGAGCTAGGAAGCCCTTGACCTCCAGATCCTTCTAATTGTGCTGTAGATTCAGGCAGGTTTTTGTTGGGAGGGTAGAGGAGGAGAAGGGGGGATGGACAGAGAGAAAGCGAGAGAGAGATCAACTGTGTGCAGCCCCAGTCAGTGCTCTGTGCAAATCTGTTACCTGTTCCAGGATCCGGAGAAGAGCAGGGCGTCTCGGCCCTGCTCACAACCAGGTGAGCAGTCAGCTCAGGTGGTGGACATTCTGCTTTTCAATGAGTGTGGCTGGCTAGCAGCTTTTGCCTCTACCTTAACTGAACTAACCAAGCTACAGGTTGAGCACACCACAGGTTCATCCAATGTTCTTAGCCACAAAGTGCACGTGTGTTTATGCCTGTATATGCCTGAAAATATATACACACTGGGATGCCTTACACAGAGGAGCTATGGTAAAACACACTGAAAAAGTTGTTTCCTTGGGTCCATCGACAACCTCTAAGAGTGACAAAAGGACATTTCAACTTCAGGCTTCAAGGTGAGTGAGACCCGGGGAAGTGGCTTCCAGAGTCAGGGGTCTGCTGGGCTGCCTGGGTGATCCCTGATCATGGCGGGAGGGAGGCGGGCAGCCAGTCAAACTGCTCACTGGGGCTTTTCTGGGTGCTGAGGGGGATGGCTGGGCTCCTGTGCACTCTTGTTCTAGAAGCAGAAATCCCTGGGACCTTGCTGGACAGAGCCACAAACCTGAGAGCACTGACTGAAGAACACTGGGGACGTGTCCACAGCCTGCTTCAGGGGCCCGTCTCACACTCGGCCTCTCCGTTCCTCTCCCTGTCCCCACGTTCTTGCTCTCTTAAGAGCTGTGTAAAACAGAGGCTCCCTGAGTCCTTCCGATCTCGGGGCACCACACAGACGGCTCCTCAGAGCTCTGCATCACAGATGACATTCCTGTCACGGTGATGAAGTCTCGTGGACCTACCCTCCCACCTCCCGGGGGATCACTGTAAAGGTGCCCAGAGACGCGGCGTGGAGCAGGTGCCTGCCAGCCGCCTGTTCTCCTAGGAGACTGTGTAGGCCTGTGGGGGGAGGGGCCTGGAAACCCGCAAGCTCTGGGGTCGATCATGCGCACTATGCGAATGAAGCCCAACCGGAGGGTTGACCTCGAGACCCCGATGTCCCCTTCTGGTCACTCTCTGCAGCCGCCCAGCTAACCTGCCCTAAGCCTGGGAGTAAAGCTCCCGAGAAAGGTCCCAGGGCTGGCTGGGACCCCGCCAGAACTCGGTGAGTGCTCAGCTCTGCTTCCAGGCTGCACTGGGCTACACGTGCTGGCTTCAGGCGTCCAGAGACTCTTCATGTCCCGAGGCCTCTCTTAATGACACATCTTTAGTTCTTTTTGCTGTAAACAAACCGGGCTACCTGCTGCCAGACAGCTCCACCGCCCTCCCACTGCCTTCCCGGGGGTTAGCCAGGCTTCTCCGGCCCAGCCACCAAGGCACCTGGCACTTTTTCGCCACCTGCAGGCCCCGCGCGGCACCGCCCCTTCCTCCCACCTCCCTGTTCTTTCCGTTGGGGAATCCAGGACAGCTGGCAGAGCCCCCACTGGGAAGAGGTGCGCTGGGTTTGGGGGTGCGGCAAACGGTGCTGTGTACTGCATTTGGCCACAACAGAAACTGTCCTGGCCAGTTGGACACATAAAGCTCACAGACGCTTTGCTGGTCAGGCAAGAGCAAAAGGCCCCCTCCTGCCGGCCGGGGGGGGGGGGCGTCATTTCAGTGCCTGGCCCGGCTTTGCTCAGGAAGCCAGCTCTGTCACAGACCTTTCTGTCCCTCAGAAATGCAAAAAGAACCCTATTCTCTCGGGGGCACTCTTCTCAAATTCTGACCCTCCCCGCAGCTCCCCGGTTTACCAGGCCCAGCATGTTTCTAATTTGATTGTCATCAGTGTCCTCCCCACGGATAAAGCAGGGGGCGTGGCAAGTGTTTGGCTGTGTCCGGTTATTTGTGCACTCCTGAGCCCCGCCCCCCCAGGAGGCCGGCACTTTAACTTCTTCCTCTGGGGGGGGGGGGTCTCCGATGACAGGCCGAAAAGGGGTTGACTAAGTGGAGACTGTGATTTACCATTTATTCACTGCTGATATTTTCTCTTTGGGTGAGGGCGAGCTGTAGGTTTTCATTTTAACTGCTCCGGGGAAGCAGCCCTGGCTCATCTCTGGGACAGAATTCCCTTAAAATCAGCTAACGTTTGGGAGCTTAACAGCTCTGCCCCCAAAACTTCCAGCACAGCTGGGGAGGCGAAAGCAATTTTCCAGGTCAAGATTTTATGTAGAAAGTCCCTTCTTCCCGTGTAAGCGTCCTCTGTCCCAGCCATTCCAGGGGCTTGGCTTCTCAACACACTCCCGCTGAGGTTCTCCGCTGGATATGTCCCCACAAACCACCCTGTTTCTAAGGGCGATGGAAATCCAGCTTGGAGGAGGCAAAACAGTAATTAGGAAAGTTCTGCCTTGGGTGGTCCTTACTGGCACTGACAGAGGAAAAGGCCAGTGAATACAATGGACACCAAATGTGCCCCTGGAATAAAAGGCCCCCAATGGCTCATCCGGCCGAGGCTGGGCCACAGCTGGGGTGAGTGGGCTGCACCCATGTTTGATGCAGAAGTACTGGTTCTCAGCAGAAAGGGCAAGTTGAGAGAGCAAAGCCTAAAAATGCAATTTCCCCTACAAGTTCTGTCCTCTCCTTTGGTTTGCCTCCATTTGGCGGCTTGACGAAGGGCATAGAGTAGCCGTACCTGTGTCTAACAGATGGCCAGAACTCCTTCTCCAGACTTCGAGAGTCACAGAGGCAGGGGCCGAATGCACCGAATCCATAGCCATGAGGACCAGCTCTTGAGTCTATGGGCCCTGGAGTGCGGTGGCCGCAACTGAGAACTCAGTTCTCTTGTGTCATTTGCAGGGGCATTAGGTGACCAGGGGCAGGGCATCTATCTGGTCATCTCTGGCGGGGAGGAGGCCTCTGGGGCAGCTACTGAGTAGACCATTGAGAGCCCCAGAAAGGGAGACCCCTTGCATCAAAAGAAGATGAAATTAGGTTATTGCTCCTTAAAAAACTCAATGTGGTTGCTTTTCTGCCCTCGCTTCAATATTGGAGTGTGATGGCCAAACCGTAGCTCTGGCCCCTCACGCCGCTGCCCCATCTTCTCCGCCAGGGTGTGTTCAGAGGAGGCCAAGAAAAATCACTTCTCCACTCTGTTTCGATTTGTCTCCTCTGGGGTCCCCGGGACTTCCATCCTACCCTTCCAAGGGGTGACCTGGCGGTCTCAGAACTGCTCCGCCTCCACAAAGCCCTCCTTCTCGTGGCCCGAGGGTTCGACCTCCGTGTAGGTGTTGTGGTTGGGGTGGTTGCGGAATCTCATGGCCGGCCAGTGGTGAGATCTCCGCTGTGGGGACACAGACCAGAGTCAACAGGCATGGCCTCGCCCACTGGGGACCTTCCCCCAGGAATAGCACTGAGACTCTCTTTACAAGGGCACTGGGGGCCTATGGAGAGCTGGGTGACGTTCAGGGCCCCTGTTTCAGAGGACTCCCTGCTCCGATCCCTCCGTTGCTGGGAAACCTGCTGGGACAGGAGGGCTGCAGGACCCCAGGTGGAAACTTTAGCAACAGACAGAGTGGGGCCCTGAGACGGTGGGAAGCGAGGAAGTAGGTGAGAGAGGGGACAAATCTGGGAGGCTCTGGGAATGCCGAGACAGCGGTTCCTACATCAGGGTCAGCAGGGGAGCTTGTGAAAATGCAGATTCTTGGGTCTGCCTCAGAACCCTGTCAGCATCCCCATCAGCACACCCGATAGGCCAAGGTTTAACAATGACCAGTTAAGATTCACAAGCAACGGAGGGAGTCTAAATGAAAAGGAGGAACCACCTGGCCTCTGGGTAATGCGGTCACTGGGCTCCTTCGCCCTGTAAAGGAGACTGCGGTCACAGAGGTGCTGCCACTGTGCCACGAGGAGAGCCAGTGGGAAGCCAAGAGTGGGGCTGGGACAGGAGCTGCCATGCTTGGTGGCCCACAGCAAAGGGGGCTGGGCCTTACTGTCATGCTGGCTCTTCTGAATTCTGAGACATGTGAAACTGTGGCATCCTCAATGAAAGCTCCCTGAGAAAGCAACTCATTACTATTATGGTTTGTCAGTTCTACTCTAAAAACCCCACACAGCAAAGAGGCAGAGAGACCTCTCAGTTCTAGGATGGCTTTGAATAAATGCTGGGGCTGGAGTTTGGCCATGAGAGACCACACCTCATCAGAGATCGGCTGCACAGCCACTAAATGGGCACGTGTGGCACTTCTTCCTTTGCCCTGGGGCCTCGTTTCACAAGTGGGGGCGCAGACGCAGACAGGACAGGAGGGCTGGAATAGCTGCGGTGCAGAGCCCTGGGGGTTGGGGACTAAGAGGGCACTAGCCAGTGTGAGATTCCCGGGGTGGAGTCAATGACAGTTCCTCAGACGGGAACAGGAGCCAGGCATGTGGCCGGTGAGGGACGAGATGGGGAGGAGCAGGTCCTGAGTGAGCAATAACGCAGAGGCAGAGGGCGGAGCTGACCTCGATGAAGAAGAGCGCGGCATTGGAAGTGGGGTGGCCGCTGATGTAGATCCCCACCAGGACGATGGCCGCTACGAGGAGGACCGCCAGCACGATGCCCACGATGGTGCCCAGGTGAACCGGGGGGCCCTTTGTCTTGGGGGACAGGTTGTTCTGAAGGCCTGTGAAAAGAGCGGGAGGGAAGGGCAGCTTCAGGGGAGCAGGGAAGGTGGGGCCGTGGAGTCCTGGGCTCTGACTAAAGTCCCAGGGATGAAAGCTGACAGAGCCTCCGGTCTATTTATCAAATACAGGACAAGGGGTTGCGGGGCTGGAGTGGGTGGGATCATGAGCCCGGTGTTAACATTCTCAGCGCAGTTCAGGCAGCCTTTCAGAATCACTTCCAGTTGCCCTGGGAGGTGGCTCGGTTGGCTGGAGCACCAGCCCATACTCCAGGGCTGTGGGCTCATTCCTGGCTCGTGGTGCGCATGCGCCACTGATGCGTAGGTGGGCGGAGCAGTGTGTTTCTCTTCTCTCTTTCCAATCAGTTTTTAAAAAATCACTTAAAGTTGCCCAAATGTCAATTGAATAAGGATTATAAAAATTCTCTCCCACACTCTTGCCACATACGTACTTTTAAGGAATTCACAAAGGCTGTGTGATGGTAAAGGCCTTGGAGCTAGAAGCTGGCCGCCTGGGTTCAAGTCCAGATGGATAATAGTAACCACCTGCTGGGGTTACTGTGAAGGTCAAAACGAAGTAATTCTCGTCAAGTACTGAGGACCACGGCTGGTATCCTTGGGCGACCTCAGTAAGTGTCAAGTATGATGATGGCAAAGTGACTGCACTTCTACCTGTCACTGTCCATAATACCAGACTGTGACCTCCTGAAGGGCAGTGCCTAATTCATCTCTAAGTCCTCAGTGCTTAGAAAACAACGGCCGACCCATCAGAGGAGCTCAATGAACGGAAGGAGCTCCGCCCTCTGCAGGCTGCTAAGCCAGCGGGCACTCTCTGAGAACACCCTGAGCACTTGAAATATACCCCAAGGAGAAAACTGAGTATTTCCATACACTGCTAAGCCAGAAGCTCATGCAGTCCCACCCTTCCTGTGGGACTGAGGTAATGGAAACCCACAGGTGAAGTGATTTGCTCAAGGACACGGTCAGTGCCAGCCACTAAGAAGCCTAGCTTCCCTACACCACCTGGGCTGGCCGTGTGCCCCTTCTCCCTCCCCTAAGGGGATGTGGAGATAATCAAATAGAGACAGAGGAGCATGTAAACAACAGGAATATCAAATCTTATTTACTTGGCTAGTGTGTGGGATGGGAGTCAACAGGGGGTGGGGATCTTTAAAAGGGTGTTTGTTACATGTGCATCCAAAATCATTGCCCTCCCCAGCCCCTCCCTCTTCTCTGCAAGCAGAGGAAACCCAGGAGAGAAATGACCCTGGGGGCGCTGCAGGGTCTGGACTTCCATCTGCCAGCAGGTGCGAGAAATGAGGTGACAGGCCTCCAAGCTGGCCCCCCTGACCTGGCAATCAGCCAGCCAGCAGCCGGCAGTGACCCTGCGGACCTGATGGTCAGGGCTTGGGCTAAGGAATGCATGGTACAGAGAAGGGACCGTGGCCCAGCTGCACCCTCCCTTCCTGACACAGGCACCATCACACCTGCTGCCCACAGAACAGTAGCTCCATCTCTGTGCTGCATTCACAGCCTCTTCTCTCCTGCTGGAACCCCAGACCTCCAGGGCCCTAGGGCGGGAAGCACCTCCACCTCCCTTTGCAGTGTTTGCAGTGAGCCCCTGAGCTAGCTCTGGGCAAAAGGCAGGAGAGGTGGGCTCCTCACCTCATCAGAGGGATTGGCCTCCCAGGTAATCCTGGGGCAGGGATCCTACTTTCTGGCACCCAGTAAAAATGGTGGCAGACAACTTTTGTGCACTCCCAGGTGGGGACTCATAGGAAAGCTGATGTGAGAGAAGCTGCCTCCTCCCCTCACTGTGAGGCCCGTGAGGGCAGGAGGCTGATGGCCACCGGCCCGGCCCCAGCACACCTGCCTGCATGCAGCCCTGTCTCCTCCTCCCTCTCCTGGTTCAGGGTGGTGGATATTCAGGAGCAGAGAGGTTGGGAGAAGAACCACAGGAGGTTCCTGAACTGAGATGGGAATGTCTAAATGTAGACACAAGCTCTGTCAGTCTAGGGGGCCTGCAGCCCGGAAGCCCCTGCCTTCCCACCCAGCAGGAGGTCTAGGAAGCTCAGGCTGCAGTTGTTTCCCCCTCCCCCACTCAGAATGAAGCAAAGAGGCCAGGTGACTGCTGCACCCTCTCCTGGGGCAGGCAGCTCTGTACTCACCGTCTCCTCCCGCATAGGGATTCAACTTGGTGTCATCTTGGAAAAGAAAGGAAAGGAGGAAAGTTAGTGGAATCATACGGCCTTTTGTCACTTGAGGTCTGGACGAGACTGAAGGGAGGTTCAGTCCACACCTTCATGCCAGAGGCAAGGAAACTGAAGCACAGAGAGGGGAGGGGACTTGCCCACAGGTCACACAGCAGCGTAATGGTGGAAGCCCATGAATAAGCCAATTTTTCCTAGTCTCACATTTATTCACTCAACAAATACTTACTGACTGTCAACTATGAATTGCGCACTGGAAGTGGGCACCGAGGACAGACATGGTCTTTGCCATCAGGGAATTAACAGGTGGCGTGGATGGAGGGACTATTAAAATCCAGCCTAATGAAGCTCTGATTGGGGCCTCACCAGACAAAGGGAAACAAGAAGGAGGGGAGCGTTATGGGGCTGGGAAAAGGGGTCTAGGCAGTGGAAAGAGCATGTGCAAGGTCCAGAGCCAGCAAGGACTTGGCCAACTGAGAAATAAAAAAGCAGTTTTGTGGAGCTGGAGGTGGAGGGGATGGGAGCAGGGGGTGTCGAGAGTGCTGAGGACATTTCAAGTTCTCCTGAGGGGCAATGAGAAGCTGAGGGAGGAGGGGTGAGAAGGTCACGAGGTCAGGTTTGCTGGAAACCTCCCCTAGGGTACATGCGAAGGACAGACTTCCACCTGCAGGTGTGTATCCTGCGGCTTCCTAAGTAAGTTCCAGTGGTTGACCCTTCCTGGGGTTCCTCCCCACGGTCACATGGCGAGAGGAAGACCAGAGTTCCACATGGCCAGAATGCTCTGGAGGACTGCTGGTGACTGCTGTAAACCTCGGAACTCGGAACAAAGGGGACGAGGCACAGTGCAAGGCTGCCAGCACGTGCATCCTGTCCCCGTCCCCTCGAGCACCTCCACCATCCATGTCGTTTCAAAGGCTTTGCTGGCTCCCCTCTGCTCACAGGTGTTCAAGGCCCTTGCAATCTGCCCCAATCTTCTTTCCTTATGTCACTCGCCACAGCTCAAGCCTGCTGCGGAGGTTGTCACCGGCCACCCAAGGCTCTCCGACATGCTCGCCTTGCACGTCTCTGAGCTGCTGCACGTTCTGTTCCTCCCCCAGGGCATGCCCTTCCTCCCCTCCGCTCTCCCTCTCTCTCAAGTCCCAGCCCTGAATGGCCCGGTGTAGGAAGGGTGAGTGCTGGGACTAGGTTTCAGCAAGTGAAGCAGGGTCTGAGCCTGTCTTTACTTAAGATTTTGAGATTTGGGAATTTGGGGCATCAATTTTGGTTTTTACAAATATTGCATGAAAGTATTTTTTGTCCTGACTACTGCTTTTTTTGGGGGGGGTTTCCTCCTGACTTTTTAAAAAAGATTTCATTTATTTCCTTTTAGAAAGAAGGGAAGGGAGGGAGAAAGAGAAGCAGAGAAACATCGGTGTGTGCGAGACATATCGATTGGTTGCCTTTTCTGCACCCCCAGCCAGGGACCCCACCCACAACAAAGGCATGTGCCCTGTCTGGGAACTGAACCTGCGACCTTTCAGTTTGCAGGCCGGTGCGCTATCCACTGAGCCACACCAGCCAGGGCTCCTGAAGTTTTTTACCTGCCTTGAGTGCCTCACCCCAGTCCTGGCCCTGTCGCTTCCCGGAAGACACGTGGGTGTGTCCTCCTTGGTGTCCCACTGCATCTGGTACCTGTTTCTGGGGCATCTCAGGCCCCATAGTTCCCTAGACTGTGGGCTCCTTGAGACCCAGCCTGGTCACACCCCAGCCCGGGACATGGCATCCTGCTGTGCCGTTCGTTTCCAGTAAGTCTTGAAATGTCAGAGTATCATATTAGATAGTGGAAGGATAAACCGTGAGACTATTTTTAAATGGTTCCCTATAGAGAAAAAACTAAAAGCTGAACTTTTAAAAATATACCTGTGTAAATCATCATTTAACTATTACATAATTATAAAGAAATGATTGAGCACGGGCCTGCAAACCAGACAATTGCGGTTCGATTCCCAGTCAGAGCACATGCTGGGGTTGCAGGCCGGTTCCCTGCAGGCCAGTTCTCAGCAGGGGACACACAAAAGGCAACCGTACATTGATGTTTCTCTCCCTCTCTCCTTCCCTTCCCCTCTACAGGTAAATAAATAAAATCTTTAAAAAAATTATAAATCAAAATTTAAAAGCACTCTTAAAAACTGAAAGCAAAACAAAAAGAACAAGTTATAGACATAATAGAAAGCTATGTTTTCTTCGGGAATTTCAATAAACAAAATATTTAAACACACCTCTGAGTCTATTTTGTTACTGCAAGTGAAAATAACAAATTGGTTAAACATCAAAACTGACCAGTCACCCTAAACTCACTGGGAAGATTAACTTAACTTGAATCAACTTGTTTCACATCTAGAGCATTGAAAAGCCATCGCAGCCCCGTCCACATCGACCCCTGGCAGACGGGTGGCGCCACCTGCAGCCAGTCCCTCTCACAAAGTGACTAAAGGTGGCCATGCCCAGCCAACGACAGCTTCTGGCCCGCTCACCCAGGGCTGGTTCCCAGCTCCCATCTCGTCGGGGTCCGTGGAGCACAGATCGGTTCCCTGACTGATGGGGAGTGGCAGAGTCCCATGGAAACTCACAGACTGAGGAAACGCCTGCCGTGTTATTCGGACAGTTGATCGTTTTTCTGCAGTTAGTTCCCACCTCTCGCTGCTATCAAAGTGTTCTGTTCAGCAGCTCACCAGGTGAGCCCTTCCACTGCAGCCGTTCCAGGTGAGGGCCTGTCTCTCCCTGTAGACTTTGCAGCGTGGGCTTTGTGGCAGCTGGTTGCCACTCAGAGGTCCTGCTGGTTCACTTGAGAGGTTGGCCTTCTATGGCGAGTGAATGACTCTTAAAACCCAGCAGCCCGAGCCCACTGATTTCTGTGCTGCCTGACTCAGGCCTGCAGAGGCGGTCCCTCTGGCTGGAGCGCCATGTCCCCTTCCTTCACAGCATCCTCCTGTCCCCTGAGAAGAGATAGTCCCTCACCTGCCCCCACAAGCCTCCATGTGCGGATTGTAATCACACAGGCAGGAGGGCGATGAAACCTGTCCTGCCAAGACGTCCTGAGAGTTGGGTGTGCAGAGACTCATCATCGAAATGTTTTCTCCTATACATGCAACTTGGTCACCTTTGCCACCCCGTCCAGGACTGGGATGGCAGGAAGCCACAGCTGCCCTCACTCTCACGCCTTCTTCTGGGGACTGTTACATGGCACACAGAAGTGAGACGCACTCCTGGCCCGCAGGAGACACACACATCATCACACTGGCCCGCAGCCAGCTTCTGGCCTTTGGCGCCCTGCGGTTCACCCGAAGGGCTGGGCAACCCCTAAGCGCCCAGCTCTGAGGGAGTTCTCAATGAGGTTGACTCGGGGGTGACTGGCCCGGGGGCTCTGCCTTTTCACTGGAGTTCCCTTTCATTGGAAGGTCACCTGGACTTGATTATTAACTCCCTGAGGGCAAGGTCTCCTCCTGCTCCTTTCTCATGTAATTTGTTCAGTGCCCACTGCAGCAGCAGGAGCTCTGCTCTCACTCCCGGGGCCCTGACCCCTCCTTGCTATTCCTGAGCAGCTTTGGACTAATGGGAGCCATCAGACTCTGCCTTGCTTGTTCAGCCTTCCCAGTTTTCCCTGTGCCCTGAGTCCACGAAGACCTTTTTCTGTGTCTTTCAGCGCTGAGACGAGCAGCGGGACAGAGGGGCAAAATGGCTGCTTTTGGAGCCAGATGAGACCTGACTCCATCTCTTTCAGGCTGTGTGACCTTGAGCAAGTCATCAACCTCTCTGAACCTTAGCGGCCCCTCTACAAAATGGGGATAAAAGAGTACAACCCTACAGGACCGTTAGGAAGATGAAGCGAGCATTAAGGCGTGCACAACATTAGCACCCGCCTGGCACGTGGTCAGGCCCCCCAGGTGTTAGCTCTTTCACTGGTTTGTCTTCCTCCGATTACCCTCTGGGCTGCAGGCTGCGTTGAAAAGGCGAGGGCTCTACCACTTACCTCCCTCATGTGACCCTGAGTAACCTTTGTTGCCCTCTGAGTGGGTTTTTGTATCTACAAAATGGGACTGGGGCTGAACAGTCTTTTAAAATAGTAACTTCTTTCCTTGCTCCTTTCCTTCTTTCCATTTGCCCCTTTCAAGCAGGTGTCTGGCTCAGGGGAGGTGGTGAGAGCCCACAAGTCTCTATCTTAGCCCGAAGGCAAGGCGCTGAAGCCTAGATTGGAGGCACTGAAAATGGATAAAAGAGGAATTTCTTACACGTAGCCAGAGTCCCAGAGGGGCCTGCACAGGCTTCTGGAGACAGTGCGTGGTGCCTTCAGCTGGATGGACCGCTGGTAAGACCCACCCTTCCGCCCGCCCCAGCCTCAGGATGGCAGCGGAGCCTCTGGGGACAGCCAGGCCTGGAGAGGCAGGGACGGGTCAGCGGCAACCAAGATGCACACGGCTGCCCTACTCTGACCCCTGCACATGAGGTCGCGGGGCAGGAAGCCCTGCCCCAGCAGTTCTGGGGGCGGGGTTCTCTGCCCTCCAGCTGGATGTGGGTGGAGAGAAGTTACAGAGAAACAAGGCAATCTTTCTGCCACGTCTGAGTGTTGACACTGAGTCTGTTCCTTCTGCAGGGATGATAAGACCTCACAGGTTCTGTGAGGGTTGCTGGGAAGATTAACTGAGATGTTTATGAACTGCCTGGCCCTGGGCTGGACGTTCATGTCCCCCCCACCACAGTGAACTTCACCCCACAGCCCTGACGTGGGCTGGTGCAGCGGTAAGAGCCTGGGCGTGGAGTCCACTCGTTCCAAACCTGGTTCTGCTTTTCACCGGCAGGTGAGCCTCTGGTCCCTCATCCGGGGCAGGACAGGGCAATTCTCATTGCCTGAGGTGACCCCTGTCAGAGGTGGTGACACTCCAGAGCCACAGCCCTTCCCCATGGCTTCTCTCCCATCCCCCCATGGCTACCTTCCGTGGTGAGGCTGTCCAGGAAGAGAGAGGAGGAGGTGGTGCTGAGGTCTCCCCCAGAGGGGCTGAAGGTGCTGTCGGGGGAGGATGCGTAGTGGTCCTCGTCCTGGAAGTCCTCACACGTCTGGCCCTCTGCCTGTGAGAGAGACCCGGGCTGCCCTGGATGGAGGCCCCGCCGCTGGGCACGCCACACAGAGGAGTTTGGCGGGGGCACATCCATCCCTCGGCGGCCAGAAAATGTAAGATTCCGTTGCATGGTCCAGGCAGGGCGAACTAACCAAAGCTGTGCCGTGAACACCTTTAGGCCTAACACGTTATCCTGGAAGCATCTTATCTTACAGGGCAATTTATCTGTCTACTGCTTCACACCCTTCCCAAGGAAGGAGCCGAGACGCCAGTTTTAAATAAATAGGGCAGATCTGTATACTTGCCAATGGCCAATGTCAGAAGTGGGCTGCTGGGCAAGACTCTTTTAAGGCCAGAAAAAAACAGCTCACCCAGCCTTACTCATAAAACAGACAGGGAAGGGTGCCCAGGAGTGGAGTCTGGGGGTGGACATTTAAACACTGGCACCCGGCACCTTCAACACCTCACCAACTGTGAGATGCAGGCCAAGTCATGAACCCTCTCCGATCCAGGGGGCACTGGCCCCAGCTCCTGGGGCCATGTCAGGGTTAAATCGGAGCCGGTGTAGGCAGCACATGCCATTAAGTAGCTAGAGCTGCAGAAAGAGAGGGAGAGAGGAAGGGAGGGGACAAGGATGCAGCACGTGGGTGACACGTGTGTTAATACAAGGTGTGACAAAGGGACGCTCCCGCACAGGATCAAAGTGCGGGACATACTGGAAAATGTCCGCAGCGAGAAGGAACCTGTGTGGGATTCTAAGTGGGGGGCGCCTGGAACAGCCCTCCTTCCTTCCAGAAGAACTGCCGCCCTCACAAGCCTGAAGGCTGGGGTCGCAACCGCTTCACAAACGTCACCAGGGACAAAGCCTCCCCCAGGAGCCCAGCCCCAGGTGGAGGGGACGATTTCACCAAGAGCCAAAGACACCTCGAGAGCTACCAGAGAAGGGCCTTGCTGTTCCCGCGAGCTGGCTCACAAGCCTCTCACCTCCTGGGCGCAGCCGTAGAACAGCCACTCCTGGCGGTGGCGGTCAAAGCCACTGGAGCATCTGCGGGGGGAACCAAGGTCAGAGGTGTTGCCGGAGTGGGGGGGAGTGATGGAGAAGCCCTCCCCATCATTTCCCGCGTGCAGCCACTGCTCTCCCATGATGGTGAGGAGGGGGCTAGCCTCCCAGGGCTCGGGCGGCCAAGCCCCCCAAGACCACTGGGCAGGTGCCCTCAGAACCAGGAAGCTGTGGAATCGGAGGCATAACCTCCTGCCCCATCCAGTCCTTTTCCAGAAGGAGGGGAAGGAGTCCATGAAATCCCTACCTTCCTTCTGGCCCAGCTCCCCTGGACCAAGGCCTCAGCTGCCCAGATGGTTTGTGTAGGGGGCTAGATAGACTGCGCGATGTGTAATGACCTTTCAGGCCCCCTTGACTTGGGGCTGTTCTGAAATTGCTAAAAATCCAGGGAATTCACATACACATTCTCATCTGGGGAAGACTTGTTCATGCACAGAGACCCCTTTTTTTAGTGGAAGGGCCTGAGCTTGGCCAGGAGAGGCTGGGGGAAGGTGGCCATCAGCAGCTTTGGCCAGCACCCCTGCACGATCAGCGGAGGGCAGAAGTGAGGGTCCTGCCACAGGCTGGGAGAGATCAAGAACGGGCTGACCAGGGTTTCCCGGGATGTGGTATGGCTCAGCCGGGCTGGAAGACGCCAAGCCCTTCCCTAGGGAAGGGGTGGGGGCTCGAGGAGGAAGCAGAGGAGGTCCTCCCTGGCACCACGCTCAGATTTCCAGTCTTCACTCTTTGGTGCCAAAGGAATCCATCAAGCCCTATTCCAGTGCAGGGACATCTGCATGGAAAAAATAGTATCACGCGCCACCAGTACTGAGAGCATTCATGGCTGGTCAACTTCAGTTCACTCTCCGCACCGGCAACCGCCTGCCCATCTGCCCGAGGCCAGCCTTTCCCTCCGGAGATGTCCCCGAGCTGCCCCTGCAGCAGACGATGCATGCTGCTCCCTCTCAGGTCCTCTGTGCCCCTTACTATGGGGGATGGAGGATTAGGGGCTCTATGCGGGGGTGGGAATTAAAGTTTCTTTTAGACCACAATGATTCTTTCAAGGACTGAGGTTTCAATATAGGTCTAGGAGCATCACATTCCAAGTGCTGAGCCAACAAACTCAGATTCAAAGGAGAAAAGCATGAGAAGTGCCATTTGCTGAGAGCCCCCTGAGTGCCAGGGGCTGCCCCAGCCAGGGGCCCTCACAGTGATGCAGCAAGGCAAGGGTTAGGCCCCTTATATCCTGAGCCAAATCCTGGAGTTAAGGTCACCCTTAGACTCCAGAGTGGGGGGCAACGTGGGGTGACAGGAAAACGCCTGCCCTGGTAAGTGAAACTGCTGAAATCAGATCCAGCCCTAGGGCAGGGAGGGGAAGGCCGGCAAAGCCTCAGAGGGCAGAGCGGGCGGAGGGGGAGGGTTGGCCAAGAGCCCACGTGGTGATCGCTGCAGCTGTTGGAGGGGGGGGCACGGTGGCCGTGCCAGTACACCAGCCCTGCCCTCTGACATATGAGAGACCTGGGTCAGCTCTTGGTTGGAGATGAGGCTCCGGAGAGCTGGCAAGGAGGGTCCCACACTGGAGAGAGCCCGGGCCCATGGGCATCTGAGGACCAGAGGTTTCCAGAACCACATCAGCCTGGCACACTGTGATGGAGCTCCTCTGTCCTGTAGCTGACACTGCCCCAGCTAAGACAGGGTCCACGCCTGAGGCCCTGGCCCCCCCTAACCGGGCCAACCCGCAGTGAACGGGCGCAGTTGGGGACACGCATTACATGGGCCGCGTCAGTGCGAGGGTTTGCTTCCATCTGACTCACCATGCAGCTGTGTGCACGGCTCAGCTGTCGCTGGGTGCTGAGTCATGCGGTGACTGCCAGCCCCCTGGGCTCCGGGGGTTAACTGGGGTCGTCTGGCTGATCTCCCCTCACGGAGACGGTGGCTCTCAAACTCGAAAGTGCACATGAGGGACCACGCGCTGCAGGCCACCACTCCCAAAAGAACCAACCTGGGGGTGGCCCTATGTGTATTCTCTCCGAGGCTCTGTGCTTTTCACGTGAAGGGCTCTGAACCCTTTGCAAAAATGCCATTGGTATTTGAGGAGTTAAAAGAACAGTGTGTTGCTCACCCACCTTTCTCTGAACCAAATGACCCCAGCCCATTTTACCAGGAAAGCAACTGAGTAAGAGCTGTGGGAGGAACAGCTGGGGGGCCCAATGAGGCCCCCTCTCTCCTCCCAGCCTGGAGCTGTGTCCTGTGTGTAGGCAGGCCGCCTGTTAAGGCCATGGCTTCCATCTCAACACCAGGATGTTGGAAAGGGGCACAGGAAACACTGACAGCTGCGTGACAGCTGCACGGAACTCAGAGACTCTGCAGTTTCCATTTTTCACAATTGCCTTAAAGGCTCTTGGAGGTCACAGAGCATCCCACTCTCCTGAGGGACCTAGTCCCCAAAGAAGTTATTGTTTTCTTCCTTCTGCCATTTACTTATCTTGGACAGGAGAACAGGGCTCAACTTCTGAGTCTGATCTGTGAGATGATTTCAGAACAAGGAGTGGAAGATGAGCTGGATTTAAGAGCTTTATCCCTGAACCTGTATCTTATCCAGAATTTTCTCTGCTTCTAAAACCAAGTAAGCACAGCTTTGTTTGCCCCCACTTTCCTCAGATGCCTGGCATTTCCACGCCCCTGGGTTTCAGGAAACCCCACTGCAGCCTCAGAAAGATCTGGAAGTGGTGTTTTGGGGTCACGGGGCTCTTGCCCAACAGCCATGGGTCTGTGGGTCATCCCCAGTCTCTGAGCTGGCAGACGTCATGCTTGTGTGCAGATGAGGCACCGTGTTGAAATGCAGGATTCTGGGCTTCTCTCCCAGAGATTCTGATGCAGGGGCCTGGGCACGTCCCAGGAATCTGTGAACCTTAGCTGATTCTTTGCAAACTATGGACCTCTCCGAGAAGCCCTGCCCTGGGACGAACTAACCCGTTTCAGGTGTGCGGAGGGAGTTGCAGTAGCTGGAATCTCCAGGAGCCTGATGTCTTGGGGGCCCTGGCATGCAGTCACCTTGATTGGCCACAAGCCTCAGGGAATAGCTCACTTCTGCGACCTTCTTGTCCTAAGGGTCAGAGCAGACCCTTGGCCAGAGATACCCTCATCTTGGCAATAAGGCCTGAGGCAAGGAGCGAGGTCGTGCTACCCTCTGCCCCTCCCCCACAGTCTGCCTGCGGGAAAACCAGAGGGTCAGTCTGGGCACAAACCTCTGGAGGACATGGCACCAGCTACAGTTGAAGGTCAGGTCCGAGGACACGCAGGCGTCGCAGCTCCGATGCTGCAGGCAGGCTGCAAGAGAGAAGGCAGGGGCCCCTTAGCACCAGGCTCCCCATGGGCCTCCAGGATGAGCAACTTTCCTACACACCGAGTCCTTACTGGACCACGCAGTCTCTGACTAGCAGGGGCCCTAGAGGTCACTGGTCCCACCCTCACTTAAGTCCAGTCCCGATTCCTCCATCTCTCTCTTCCTTTCCCCCTGCCTTCCTTCCTTCTTTCTGTGTCCTGGGAGTTCAGACCCTGAGCTGGTGCTGGGGTTTGAACAGTAAGGCCTCGTCCCTGCCTTCTCGGGCCTTGCAGTCATATGAGGATACAGACACTAAACAGATAATCAAACAAAGATAACCACGTGATTATTATTCTGATGAAGTTTATGAAGGAGAATGACATAGTGCTATCAGCATGTACAAAGAAATGTCACCTAGTCTGGGAAGTTATACTCCGGACCATTGCCTACCATTACAGGGTTGAGAGGGAGTTTTAAAAAAATTGAGCCCTGGCTGGTGTGGCTCAGTGGATTGAGTGCCAGCCTGTGAACAAAAGGGTCACTGGTTCGATTCCCAGTCAGGGCTCATGCCTGGGTTATGAGCCAGGTCCCCAGTAGGGGGTATGTGAGAGGCAACCACATATTGATGTTTCTCTCCCTCTCTTTCTCCCTCTCTTCCCTTCTCTCTAAAAATAAATAAATAAAAGTAAAAACAAAAAAAACCTGAGATATATTTAACAGATATTGAGTAAGTTTTATCCAACATATTGATTTGATACATTTATATTGGTATGATTGCTGTTGCAGATAACACCTTTATTATGTCACAGAATTATCGTTTTTTCATGTGGTGGGAACGATTAAAACCTAGCCTCTTACAGTTTGGTGTCTATAATCACCAAAATGACTTTTTAAGATGTCCTGGTTTGACCCCAGGCAGAGCCGGCCAGGGCGCTCAGGCCGTGTGAAGGGGCGGTCTCGGGGTCCTGCTCCTGGCCTCCGTCCACCTCCTCACTGGCCTCCTCCCAGAGAAGTCTGAGTGTCCCTCTGTGAGGGCAAACCAGACACTGACTTCCATTCCTTCTTCGTCCTCTGCTCTTGGACCTGGGCCACCCCAGGGGCCGTGGGGGCATCTCTGGGTGCCCAGGCTTACATCTTACTTGGGAAGTTACTTAACCTCTTGGTGCCTGAGCACCTCATTTATACAGGAGGGGTCACGATGCCAGGTGCCTGGCAAGTCTGCTGAGAGGGTGACCGGAGATGATACCTAGAGAGGGTCTAGCCCGGTGCCGGCCACGTGGTGAGCCCAGTGAGTGCTCCTTGTTGTTACCGACTGTGGCCTTATTTGCTCCTCTCAACATTCCTATCAGGTATTCATTCACTCATCCATCTCTCCATTCATTCTTCCCATAAATATTTACTGAGCGCCTGACATGGGCTGGGCACTGTGTCAGGGGCTGGAGCTACACTGGTGAACAGGGAAAGACAGAGGCACCGCCCGTATGGAGCCTGTCGAGTCGGGGAGCAGATGGCTCGTGCACACACACACAGACACATCTGCACTAGGTTCCTGGTGGTGAGAAGGGCTGTGAAAAAAAAAATAGAGCAGAACAGGGAGGCTGTATGACCTGGGGAAGGGTTCTATTCAGGGAGGTTGGGGAAGGCCTCTGAGGAGAGGCGGCTGGGGCAGAGAGAGGGAGAAGGGAGGAAGCGAGCAGGCGGAACTCCTAGGGGAGAGGTCCAGGCAGAAGGGCGCCTGGGCGGGGGGCCTGGGAGGAACGTGTCCCAGGCGTGTTCTCAACAGCAGCCAGACCACGAACAGCCTGGGCCGAGTGGGGAGGCGGGACCCTCTGGGCGGGGCAGAGTTGGGGAGCAGAGAAGTTAGTGGCCGCAGGGTGCCTGAGGGAGTGTGGACCCTGCTGGTACCAGCCAGGCAGAGAAGCAGAGAGGGCCAGCGGAGCGGGAGGTGCAGGGGCTGGGTTTTAAGAGGTGTTCACTTGCAATCGAAGGCCACCCACTTAAGTGAACCAGCACGACCTCTGAGTGGCAACCAGCTGCCACAAAGCCCATGTGTTTTACTGCAAGGAGAGACAGCCCCTCACCTGGGACACCTGCAGTGGAAGGGCTCACCTGACGAGCAGACAGGCTGATAGCAGCAAGAGGTGAGAACTAATTACAGAAAAATGACCAGCCATTCAATAAACATCACACGCATTTCTTCACTCTGTGAGTTTCCATGGGACTCTGCCACTCCCCATCAGTCAGGGAACTGATCTGTGCTCCACGGACCCTGACGAGATGGGAGCTGGGAACCAGCCCTGGGTGAGCGGGACAGAAGGTGTCGTGAGCCTGGTGTGGTTACCTTTAGTCACTCTGTGGGAGGGACTGGCTGCAGGGGGCTTTACGTCCTTTTGCCTGTCAGGTCTTTGCAGGCCTGAAAGTGGGGGTGGAAGGCCGTGGGCTGGAAATGAGCAGAAAGTGGCCTGGCCTGAGGATGAGAGCTGTTTGGTTCTCTGATGTATCCAGAGGGCCTGGTACAGTGCCCGGCATGTGGGGGGCGGTGGACACGTTTACTGAATTGCTATATAGATGCTTTTATTATCCTCACCTTACCGAAGAGGGAACTGAGGTTTGCAGAGAGTCACTGAGCTAGTCAGTCTGGGTGTGAACCAAGGTCTGTCTGAACGGAGGACCTGAGCTCTTAGCGTCTGTGGGGTCCCTCTGCCCAGCATCCACTCTCACCTCACACTACCTTCTCATGAGCCTCTTCTAGCCATAGAGGGCAATGGCTTGGAGATGGACCACCCACACCTCTGGAAGAACCCTGGGTAAGACCTCCCTCACCCCAAGGTAAGGGAGCACGCCTGAGCTGGGGGATGCAGAGTTGTCTGAGGACAAAGCTCATGGACCTCCTAGAGGCTCCAACCACAGCCTTGGGAGCACTGTCCCTTCCCCCACCAGCTGTACCCACCTGGGAGCCCATGGCCTGGTCATGCCCAGTGATTCTGGACCCTGAATGGCTCTAGTTAAACTGAAATCAAACCCTGGGAGCCTCCGGGGGTGTTCATAAGACCTGCTGACCTTATCTCTCATCTGCATTTCAGATGTCCTGCATGCCATCAAATGCTCACGGAATTCACTGGAGGGGTGGGAAGTAGCTTAGATGTACAGTGTCCCAGAAACACATTCCCAGGACAGTTCGCTCCTTCGGCCCGGGGGAAGTTCGCCCTGTCCTTGGATGTCCTTGCTCCTATGTGAAGTTTTATTTAAGTCCTTAGTTTGCGCTCATCAGTTCCTGAGAGACCACTGGTTCTGGGGCCCAGGGCTCTCTGGCCTGGAGGGAGGGCAGCTGGGCTGGGGGTGGGGCTGAGACCTGCAAGTTGTCCTAACTCTGTGACCCTATGATGTCTGGAGTCTCTCTGCTTTTGAGGGGTTGGGGAGGACACCTGCTGAGAGCCCAGACTGAGACATGTGGCCTCACATTTGGGAAGCTTCCTCCACTTCTTTTCCCAGCCCCTGCTCCCAGAATCTCCAGGGAAGAGGAAGAGGTGGGGGTGGGGGAAGCAGGCAGGAACGTCCCAGAGGGCAGGGAAAGGGCCCTGGCTTCAGAAGCTGGGAGCCACCGTGAGACAGAAGATGAAATTAAAACTCTCCTTAAAAAAATACAAGAATCAGAGTACGGTCCCCCTTTCCCTCAGTCTCCCCAGCTGCTCTGACCAGATCCTGGAGAGCGTCCAGCCCTGATCCTGCGGAGTCCACAGCAGCAGCGTGGGCCTCTGCCACGGTGGGCCTTCCACTGTGGGTGAGTGGGGTGCAGAGAGGGGAGAGGAGCTGACTAAACCCTTTCATGGCCTTCTGCCTGTGGGCTCCGGCCTCCCCCCAACTAATGAAAACACAATGATAAACCGTGGATCACTCAGTTCCGTTCCTGGTTATTTTTCCTAGGGCTCGGTCTAAGTTCTCAGAGGCATGTGATTCCTGGGCTTCAGTTACGTGTTAGTGACAACGGCTGCCATTTGTCAAACACAAACCACACCCCAGGCCTGAGAAATGCCAGTTAGCATCAGGGCCAACATTTATGTCCTCAGTGCTCCTTACTGTGGTTCTGACCCTGACCAAAGCCCTGGGAGGGAGGTGGTGTTAGGACCAGGGGACAGATGGGAAATGGCGTGAGGTGGCCACACCCACACAGGGGCCAGTGGTGGGCCTGGGAATGGCACTCAGTCTGTTTGACTCCAGAGCTCTTTCTAGGACACCACGGTCCCAGGACGCCTTCCCCCGTCAGTGGGAACCACCCCTACTTACTTGGCAAGGGGGTAAACTCCACGGCCGACCTGCTGGTGACCTTGCTGGGGTCCAGCTCCACACGGTGGTATTCAAAGATGGCCCTCCGCCGGGATTCTGAAACAGAGGCAGAGCCGACAGGTCAGGGCTTCGGGGCCTGTACCAGGAGTCCAGGGGTGGGCAAGAGATTGTAGTGAGTGGAACTGGTGGCAAGAAGTGAACCCGTCAGCCTGGGGTAATGACGCTGGCGCTGCGGCAGAGACAGGGGAGGCAGGAGGTGACCTTGGGAGAGCTCTGTGTTATGAGCAGGTTTAACTACCCAGTGCAGAGGCCTGGCTGCTCCTGGGGTCAGGACATGGACGATCCCATGCTCCTGTGTGTCTCTGTGTCTGCGCAGCTGCTGCTCCCTTGACCCATAATGCATTTCCATCCCTTTTCTCCCTGTCAAGCTCATCCGATCCCTAGTTCAGGGGCCACTTCCTCTGACAACCCTCCTTGACCATGACCTCTTCTTCCCCACTCAGGCCAGGTGCGGTCTTCCCACTGCATTCCCCAACTTGAGTGGTCATTAGATTTTACTTGGAGGGTGGGTGAGGGGCATTAAGCTGTGAACATCTGGTTCTGAACCTGACCCAGAGTGAGCACTCTGCACATGTCTGTGGGTAGACCGGCTGACCTTGGGGAACCTCTTCCCTCCTGGACGGAGGCCAGAGTGAGGTTCGGGGCCTGGAGCCAGGCTCATGTCCTGCCTCGGTCCCTGCAGAAACTTCCTCCAGGGCCTCAGAGCCAGGAAAGCCCAGTTCTGATTGGAGTTCTATTCCCAACTCACTGCACAAACTTCGGGCTTCAGTTTCTTTCCTTTTCTCTCTTTCTTTTCGAAGATTTCATTTATTTTTTTTTTAGAGAGAGGGGAAGTGAGGGTGAAAGCGAGGGAGAGAAACATGGATGTGAGAAAAATGCATCAATTGGTTGCCTCTCGCACACCCCCAACTGGGGAACCATCCCACAACCCAGGCATGTGCCCTGACTGGGATTCAAACCTGGGACCTTTTGGTTCTCAGGTTGTCACTCAGTCTACTGAGACATACCAGCCAGGGCAGCCTCAGTATCTTGTCTATGAAGTGGAAAGACAAAAACACCTGCTACAACATGCTTTGGAGGAAAAAACTGGAATTGTAGATGAAAGGACTTTTGCTAAAATGGCGGTTCTTGAGATGCTCTGCTATTTCCCACCACACCCCTGTTCTTACCCAAGAACTGTGACTCGGGGTTGGTTTTGTTTGGCCCTGAAAAGCAAGCAGCCAGCCACTGAGCTTTATGAATGAGTCCCCTATGAGGGGAAAAGGCCACGTAGTGTTTGGTTGGCCCAGCACCCCTTCTTATGGATTGCTCCCTCAAACCCCTTTGGGGGTACTTCCCCCAGCCCCTTCCTACATGTGGTTTGCAGGAGCTGCCATCTTCCGTCTTCCTCCATGACCCTGCCTCCCTGGACACAGTGATTGGTCCAGGGCTGAGCATCTGATGGAAGCTGGACCAATCACGGACCTTCCCCAGGACTTTTCAACTGTAACCAAGAGGCCCGCCCTTTGCTCTTTAGTAGTAAAGCTAAGGTGCAAGCCTGGAATCTGTGAATGGCCTCGGCCCCCGAAACAGTCAAGACCACAGAACGTCCTCAAAATACGTGCCATGCAATGAAAAGGAAACTGCTCTGGCCTTGAGGCCAGCAGAGCTGCCCGGGAACTAAACAGGAATCTGCAGCCCCACCTCGGAGGCCTGTGCCGAACCTGCTGGCCTCCCCACTCAGGAGTCACTAGGAGGGTCTGCCTGTTACTCATGGGTCAGGGTCCACTCTAGGCCACGGGGAAGAAGGTGTAGAGCCTGACCAGAATGTGGAGGAAGAGAAGCTGTGCAGCAGGAGAGGGGCCACCAGGGAGGGGACTTTTAGGCTCTGCCCTTACCATCGGCGGGACCTTGGACGAGGGACTAAGCTGAGTGAACCCCACCCAGAAATGGAACTAGTCATTCTGTACTTATGGGGCCAGTCTGAGAACTGAAGTAGGCACCTTAGGCAAAGCACCTGAACCAGAAGAGCCACTCGAAGTGGGAGAGTTCCTCTTGCTTCTCACCACGGCTCCCTTCGTGTGTTGGGTTTTCTTGTGGCTGAAACTTTCGGGCATTTTGGGTCTCTCCCACCCCCTCAAACTGAACAACATGAGGAAAGTTTCTCCCCCTCCCTGCCTCCCCCAACCACCTGATGACAGATTTCTCACCAGTGATTCTTGAGTGGGTCCCTCGGGTCCTCAGCAACTCCCGAGGATGCTGTGGACAGACCGACCCCGAGAGGCGGCCTGACCACGGGGCTGTGCCGGCATCTGGACATCCCGGTCACCACTCACCCTCCCTCCCTCAAGGGCCGTCCGTCCCTCCGCTGCCCACTGTGGGCCTCTCCCTTTCCCCCTTTTGGTTTCCAATGTCCAGCCTGCTTGTGTTTCCTCCTGGGGGGTGGGCAGCCCTCCACTCTTGTCTTCCTAGTTTAGATTGGCTTTCGAACCCCCTGGAGAAAGAAAGAGCTAACGGGAGAGGTGGGGGGAGATCAGTGCCCAGGTGGTGAACAGGCCTTGAAAATCTCCCAGGACACGCCCAGGGCTCCTCAGAGAGGACTTTGGGCTTAGCCTTCATTTGCTGTCAAGGAGGATGACCACGCCAGCCCCACGGCACCCTTCCACGGGGACCCCTGGACTGCAGCCGGACAGTTTATAATGAGACCCAGGCCTCCTGCTGCCTTTTCCTCTCTTCCTTCCATTGCAGGCAGATCGGGGGACTTGATGCCTCTCTCAGGAGCCTGGCTGGAAAGGGCGGGTTGGGGGGGACCCGGGCACTCCTGGAGGATGCCCAGAGGGAAGCACCGCCCAGTGTGGGCTGTACGAGTGACGAGATGGGTGTATCAGGTTGAGAGCTGCAATGACAAGTTGTCTTGCCATTCATTTCCTGAGTGGGGAAACTGAGGCCCAGGGAGATTAGCCCATGGACTGTAAAAGTTCGTATGACACTTTACAATTTTCCAAGCCTATCCACAGTCTTAAATGGAAAAAAAGCTACTTAATGACAAAACGCACACAGCACCACCACAAACCACACTCATTTACCTGTTTAACACGAAGAGTGACCTGCTCTGTCCAGGGGGTGGGGCTAAGTCCTGAGCACCAGTGAGGAGCTGGACAGACCCGGCTCTGCCCCCTGGGGCTCACACCTGGCCCTGTTGGAGGCCCCTGGATCTGATTTCTCTCCGTTGCTCTCACAACTTTCCGAGGTACACAGACATCACTGTTCTCCCCTTTTCATGAAGGAAAGAAGTGAGATCCTACAGGGGACTCATTTGCCCAAAGCCAACAGTTTTCGTTTGTTTGTTTTTGCAGAGCCCAGACTGAAAACTCAAGCCTCGATGCCAGGGTTGCTCCAGAAAGTCACCGAGGTGTGTGTGCAGAAAAATATTTATCAAATTCTGGCTCCTGGAAGGGGCTGTGGGGAGAGGTGGAGGCGGGCAGGGGGCTCATGTGTAGCATCTGCTGACTCTTGTGGCAAAAGGGCTGATTTCAAGCTGCCAGTCTGGAGTCAAGAGCACAGAACTTCCACCAGCATCCCCAGCACACCACTGTTTAAGCTGTGTTTTAACTTAAGAGTCCAAAGGAAACGTTTGTTAGTTTTTTTTTTTAATCATTAAGCCAATGTCCTGAAGACTTAGTAATCAGGTGTTTATTTTTTCCCAAAAACCACAAGTCCGAGAAAGAAGAGGCCCCGCAGGCAAACCTCACACCTGTCAGGCAGTGCCCAGTGGGGCTACCAGGGTCCTGGGGAGGGCAGAACCACCCCTCATCAGATGCTGCGCGAGGCTCACAGAGCCCTGTATCACGTGTGTGCGCGCGCGCGCGCACACACACACACACACACACTTTTTTTTGATACAAGAAAGGCCCCTTGCCGAGCGGGAATGGGGTCTGAGACTGGGGTGAGGAAGGGCGCCTTGCTGTAATTCATCTGCCCAGAGGAGGCGCCAGCGTTCAATGCTTCCAGAGCCCCTTCCTGAGTGACACCAGCTGCTGTGAGAAGGTGGCCTGGGCTTTAAGTGACCTGGGGGATGCGGGACAGGTAGGTGGAGGATGAGGAAGCTCCAGGCAGCCTTTCACATCTCTGTCCCACCCCCTACCAGGGACCATCTCTCCTGAAAAACCACCCCTTTCCACACCAGAATGTAATAGAAAAAAATAAATGGGAAACTTCATGTCTGCTGAGGTGCCCGAGGCCGTGGGGTCTAGAGACTGGGTAAACTTTTCTTCCTTTATCTGCCCATCCTTCAGGGCTCAGCTCAAAGGATGTGCCCTCCTGGAAGACTTCTGCCACCCTCGGGAGCAGTTAGTGGCCCCTCCCCTGAGCCCCGCTGCTTCCTGTGCAATGTCTGGGGTCATCTGTGACACCGCACCATCAATATTTACTTTGCGGGCCACCTGCACCCCAGGCCACGAGCTCCCCAGGGGCAGAGCCAGCAAGTTATTTGTCTCTGTCCCCCACACTCAAGCACCAGGCCCTGCACATAACAGGGCCTTGAGAAATGACTGTGAATGGATGAATGGGTTACAAATAGTCGTGGAAACAGCCTGCAGCCCAAGAGAAGAACGCCCTTCCTCCCTGGCCCATGACAGATTATGGCTTTTGTCAAAAGGGCCACTCCCTGTGGGCCAGAGACAGCCAGACAAGTTAGAGCTTGAAGTAGAAGAATCGGCTTGCAGGATTTCTGCACCTGTGGGGACAGCTGCTCTTGGTCAGAAGGAAAGTGAAATGAGAGGGACAAAGGGAGTCAGAATTGGGGAACGAGGGAGCCAATTTTGGGGACAGACACACAAGCAGCATCCAGGGAAAGTGGGGCTCCAAGCAGAATCTGGGGGGGGTTCTCTCTACCAGCTGGGCTCAGAGTGCAGCTGGGGCTGTGCCTGAAGGAGAGGCGGCCAGAGGCGGTCAGATGTCTGCCCAAGCCCGCCACGGCCCTCCCAGCAGGGCGGGGGACCAGTGCGGTAGGGAGGAGGAGGCGGGTGGGTGTGCCGAAACGCATCCTGATTAAGGTA